ACTGGCAGTTTTTCTTCCTGTAGCTTCTGTACCTGCCATAATAACTTGAATAATGTCAGTTACATCTGCAATTCATTAAACAGGAGAATCTGAGTTAGCGGAGATACCTGAAGGTTACGAACCAGAGCACTGGGAGTACTACAAGGTATTCTAAAATTTAATCAAATACACCCTATATGCCAGTAAAAAGTGCCTATTGTAATTGTATTTCTTTTTATTGTGTCGCTGCTGTTATAAATGCTTCTGGTCTTTCCTTTCATTGGTTGTCTTCATTATATCTTAGCATCCCATCACCCGTTGGATTGCTTGTACCTTTTATGACAGCCCAGTGAAGGACTATGAGAAAATGATGGCACTTATCCAAATGGAGGCCGAGAAGGCTGAAATGAGGTAAGCTGTCTTTATATGATTCAGCTAATTAGGATCAATGAGAACATGACATATTTTACATATATGTATTTACATTTAAGAATTAGATTTATATTTTCCTAAATATTTGGCAACACTTTACATTAAGGTATCATTTTGTTAACATTAGTTAAATGAATAGTTCATCCAAAAATTTGCTGGAAATGTACTCACCCTCAGGCAGTCCAAGATGTAGATGAGTTTGTTTCTTCATCAGAACAGATTTGGAAACATTTAGCATTGCATCACTTGCTCACCAGTGGATCTTCTGCAGTGAATGGGTGCCGTCAGAATGAGAGTCCAAACAGTTGCTAAAAACATCACAATAATCTACAAGTAATTAACATGACTTAATTTAATCAATAAAAGTATTGTGAAGTGAAATGTTTAAATTAAGATGTTTTTTACTTCAAACTGCTGCTTCCTGCTAAAAACGAATCCTCTTTCCATAATATTTCTTTCTCTAGTGAAAATGCACAGCCCTCATAGCAATAATGTGTGTGTTATTTGGTTACTAAATAATGTATTTACAGTCCGTGCGTTTCACTTCGCAAGAAAAATTTTGTGTAGTGAATTCATCAAACGCACCATCCAACGGAGTATACTCTAGAAAAAAACTAAAACCCAGTATAATTAATTAGTAACGAGAATGAAATATTTGAAAATATTAAATTTGTTGCGTATGTGTATGATAACTTATCCCAGTTATTATTTAGGCATGGATACAGCGGTGAAAATGTGGGGGGGACATAAATTGCTCCGAAACATAAATCGGCGCCTATGCAACAGGGGAAGGACTTTTTCACTGGAGGAAGCATCATTATGGATTATGGACAGATATTTTGGCCAGAAGGAACTGTTTAAAGTTAAAACACCTTAATGATGGATTTGTTTATTACAAACACGCAGCTTTTCACTTCACAAGATGTTAATTGATGGACTGGAGTTATGTTACTGAACTATTCTTTAACTACATTAGCTAACATGTAATAATAATTAAAATACTTTTAAAGCCTTTATTAATCTTAGTTAATTTTATAATTAAAATCAAAAGTTGTATCTGTTAATGCTATCTAATGGACCTGAGCTAACATGAACTAACTATGAACGGTTGTGTTTACAGTACCTAACTAAAGATTAATACATACTGTAACAAATGTATTGGGCATTGTTAGTGAACTTTAATGAATGCATTAAGAAATGTTAAAGGGATAGTTCACCCAAAAATGAAAATTCTGTCATCTTTTGCTCAGCCTCAAATTGTTCTAAACCTGTGTGAATTTCTTTCTGCTGCTGAACATGTTAAAAGAATATTGGTAACCAAAGTCTTGTTGGTGCCCATTGACTTCCATATTATAACAAAAATATGGAAACGGATTGGTTACCCAAATTCTTCTTTTGTTTTCAGAAGAAATTCATACAGGTTTGGAACAAAGATAGAAATTTCATTTTGGAACTGTCCCTTTAACTAATGGGAACTTACTTACAGTTATTACCAAATATTTTAATTTATAATATAAGAATAGGTGGAACTCGTATGTGTCCTTAATTTTTTTAGCTTTTATTGCTGACAGGAATCAGTTTAGGCAGATCTCTCAAGTGCAAATCAATACCTGGCTCTTATGAGCGAGTGTCATTATGATTATGCCCAGCATTCACCACCTCTCCTTAAGCACATTGCAGTTTCTGTTAATAAAATGTTGTAAAAGTAAAAGTATTGTCTTAACTGAAATTTTTGTTAGTCTTTGAGTCAAAAGGGATGAGAACCACAATGTTTTTTTTTTTTAACTGCTGTACATAATAATTTCTTGCTCCACGGTATGAAATGCATATGACTGAGTAGGACAAAACAGTTGGAATTTTATTACAAGAATTACTAATTAATGAAAGGAGAAAGACTCAACTGGTTTTCATGGGTTATCAATTTAATGCTATAATAACATTTAAGCCATTTTGGTTAAAGTAGAATCAAAGTTTGAAGGTCTAGACTCTAGAAGGTTTAGATTATCTAGTTTAACAGTCTGTATTAAGACCTTTCAAAATTCTGCTCACTAAAGCATTCCCCACCATATGTAGGTTCATTTCAAGTGTGAGGTGCCTTCAAGTAAAGAAATATCACAATATCATTAATAAATCATGGACTAAAAGATTAGAAGAAAAGAGCAAAAACTTGTGTAGGGTAAAAATAATGAAGGAATTCTCAAACCTTGCGATGCAATTTAATGTCAGTACCACAACAACAAAGGCACTGCTCACAGATATGTGTCTTGTTTTTATGTAGCCTAATTGATTATCTCTTAATTTATTATCCTCTATTTTTCTTGTAGACAACTACAACTTGAAGTCCGCCGACACATGAGAGAAAAAGGAGATGGACCCTGGTTCCAGATTCAGACACTTGATAAGAATCTCATCGACCACAGCCCCAAGTCATCCCCTGATAACTAGGAGTGCTCATGCATACCTGTCCAAAATATTCAGCCATTATACAATGTATAATGTATTGTTATAAATAATGTTTCTTTTTCCCTTTTTTGCCTCTGGCACCAATAAACTAATGATTATAAATAGATTACTGCTCTTGTGTATTCTTTTGAGTATTGCTTAAAGAATTTACCCAGAAATTAAAATGTCATCATTTATTGATTTCAGACTGTTCATTGCAAAAATATATTGTATGGCTTCAGAAGATTTGGAATACAGCACATACTGACTGCTGCTTTTGTTTATAGAAACTTGAAAGCTCCTGTCCCCATTCTTTATATTTTCTTGAAAAAGATCAAACAAATTATTCATAATTTCTTATTTTGTGTTCCACAGAAATAGGAAAGCCAGTCAGGCTTTCAAGTTAACAAATACCAAAGAAACAATTGGAATCGAAACCTAAACATTATAAAAAATTTGTTTTTGCAGTCACACTAGAATCAGAAATTTCCAGTAACCATAAAGGTAAAGTGCTGAAGTGCTACATCAGAAGATATGGTCAATTAAAAGATGATTTCAGAATTATGTGAATAAAATAAAATTTCAGTTCATAAATTCTTTCTCCAAGCAAACAACTCCCGACTACTGTATATCAGTCTATTGTCTTCAGTCTAATATATCATTGTAAAACATCAATTTCAATACATTTTGTTTTGACTAATATTATAATTAAAAAATAAAAAGTTAGACCAGAATTATTACTGAATTATTATTAAAAGAGTAAAGTTATTTAGTGTGGGTTATATGGTACACGGCAAAGAGAGTTTAATTAGCAGTTAACTTTGACACACAATGTAAAATTTATAACAACAGCAATAATAATACTAATAATATAATAACCAATAATAAATAAACAAACTTTTAAGTCTATAGCACCTTTCATAAAAAAAAAAACATTACAGTAAGCACCAAGTACTTTACATGAAAACGTAAAAATACCTAAATTAATATAACAGATTAAAGATGAAGCTCATTTTATAATGATAATAAAAGAGGATACAATTAGTAGGCCTATACATAAAATACTTAACAATAAATGGAATTTAAAACGAAGTAATAATAAAGGACAACGTAATACATATAATATTCCATAAAAAAATGCTTGTTAAAAGATTTAAAAAAAGATAACGTTAAGTTATTCAGTATGAAGTACACTACATGCAGACTGTACTGCCACTGCCATTATAAACACATCAAACTCACTGAGCGTAGATCTGAAAACGCCACCACTTGGCGTCAGGGTGAATAATGTGAAATATTGCAAAAGTTTTAAAGGTGACTCAGCTGTTTGGAGTTTGTCATGTCAGACTAAAAGACAGGTTATTTTTACACACTATCTGTTCAAGCTCGTGTGTCACCAGGAGCTAGTGACAGGTTTTTCAATCTGGTGGGCCCTCAACACCCTAACCAACACACACCAGTCCTGTAACTCAGTGTTTTGATTCAGATTAAACTTCTCATTTGTTTATTCTTTACTGCTTAAAGAGTTTAAAATAATTAATCTTATTGTTTTGTATGAATTTTTCAATTTAAAGGAACAAACGCCATTGAAAACAACTTACAAGCATTATAAATTATGTGAATAATCTTAATGACCAAAAGTATCATGATGCCATGTTATTGCAATATATGCCTGAAAACATTTCATTAACATGTGCAGCAACAAAAAAGGGCACCATTACTGTAGTAATTTAAATTATAAAAGTAAAAGGCACAATTCTGAGCATTATGCAATTTTATGTTTATTTATAACTTTTATGTCTAATAATTTTAGGCCTATTTCTAATCATAGAGAGCAGATACTCTGCATTCAAATTCAGTAAAGCCCTAGACTGCAAAAATGATTCAGTTGTTTTTGATTGTGTTCAGCTATTAAAGTGTTTTCTCTTTTCATGTATACAGTTTGTATGTTTATGACTTCAAATGTTTATGACATCTAATCTCTAATAGTATTGTTCACATTTGTTTTCTAAATGTAACTTATTAGACATATGAAATTGTACATTATGTACAATTGGTTTTAATTATTGATATTTAACATGAAGTATAAAATTACTTGCCTACATTTGTCTTAGCTTAAATCAGGTTTCATCATTTTTTAGGAATCGGAAGGAGGTCTGTATGTGTGTATGAACTCATTCCTGGGTTTCGGAAGAGAACATGTGGAGAGACATTACCGTAAAACTGGACAGAGTGTGTACATGCACTTAAAAAGACACGTGAAAGAGGTAAGAAGAGTGACAAAACTTTTTTCAAGCTTTTTTTAATTGTCGGATTCTTTGTAAACTTCACAGAAAAAGTAAATATATGTTTCATTCACTCTAAAGGAACCTGTGCATATTAAATGCATTATGGAAACTTACTGAGAGCTGTATCCAACAACACAAAGAAAGCAAAAGAGACAAAGTAATATTTAATGATCATTGGTGTAATGTAGTGCAGCACATGTTGAAGATGGATTCCTGTCAGTGAATGTCTTGATGAAGAACTTTCATTGTGTTGTCTGCTTACCGCAATTGACTTAATTTGCAATTGACACTTTTGACTTAATGTTTTGTGTACAAACAGATTTAGTGCATCCAGTAACATAACAAAAGCATTACCATAAACATAAGGTGCCAGTGAATAATGAGTAAACTTTTCCAGAACAGATGAGGCCAGTATTTTATTAGGTCAAGTTCGAATTTGCAGATTGCACTGTGCTGATTTTGAGAGGAAATCTGTGGAATAGATTTAAATATGAAAAGTTGTGCTAAATAAGGCCAACAATACTAAACATGTATTTCAAAGCATTTTCAAATTAGCAATAATGCTTTTTAAACATGCAAGGGGTGGAGGATGTGTGGATCGTGAATGACAGATGTTCCGATTCTGCAGAAATCTGTGGAGCTTTCTTTGGACTTTTGTCAGCAGATTCAATGTGTGGATGTGCTTATTAGGCTACTGAGACTATGTATGTAGCAGCTAATTATTATTTTGATTATTGATTAGTCTGACAGTCTGAAAAATATTAATTATTAAAAAAATATCTGAATTAATTTTAATCCATTATTTACAAAAGTGTTCTTTCACATTTCACATCAACATTATCCTCCAAACAATGTGAAATTTGAAGGCACTGAAAACATATATAGTGAGTGTATCTATGTGCAATGAAACAATTTAACCGATTGCTTACTATTTGAAAGTAGAAGTTCAAATCAGTACATTAAAAATGATAAAGAAAAACAAAAGCAAAGACTAAACCTGGTATGAGGTAGGAGGAACACACATTCACTCATCTGAAAATATTACATTTATATTCCATTACAATAGTCCCTTTACTGTTACTGCTCATTAAAGCAGCTCATTACTGCTCATCTTATCATAGTGCGCAGACACAATTAATCACTAATCAGATTAGTTTGTCAATTATTATCATTATCGATTTTATAAACGAGTTGTTGCAGTCAGAGTATATGTAGCTTGTTGAGGTCACATCCTTTTGATTTGTCCTCTTTTAGTCTTACTTTATTTTATTATAACTTCCAAAAATGTGGAAAAATTCAATCAAGCAGACATTGATGACTGTTGGATTTAGAACGCAGCTAAGAGTATTGAGATGATTACTTAAGAGGTCCTGAGAGAGATATTTTTCACTCTTCATTGTGAGTTGAGTTTCTTGCAGATGGGTTTTGCCTGCCTCTTCTTCAAGTTTTAGAGCTATGCTATACTCACATACCTAAATGTACACAATTCATGAAGACTGCATAGCAGGAGGTCTGTTGGATTTAGAAAATGTATGTCCATGTTCAGAACTGTTGTTTTTGAAAGCATATTTGAATGTTATGGTTCTAATCATGTGATGTGACAGTTCTTCAGCACAAATTTAGAAGGAAACAGGCAGTTCAGAGGGTGCTTTTGACATTTTGGCTTATAAATGATGAGCCCAGCATAACCCTCTTGGGAAATGTCAGCAAGAAAAAGCACAGTAAAAGAACATCTGGATATTTACAATAACTACAGTAAATGTGTTTTCTGAGCTTTTTCACAAACTGAGCGACATGTCAGGATTATTTTCTGTGATAACTAGACAGTATATAACTAGACAGCATGGTAGATTAACAAAAAAACAGCATGGTACACAGAGAAGAAAACTGAACTGTGCCGCATTATTTAAAACACCATTTTACATTGTTTTTCACTATATGTACTAAATTTAATATAATAGATTTTAAATCTTCAGATTTTAAAGTAATGTCTCGTTTTTTAATGTTACCATGGCAGTCTTTCCTTATAGCAGTTCTACTGAATCCCAGTATGCTCTTATATACTGGCCTAATGATGACTGATTTGTTGGTTATTTAGAACAGGAACCTAATTATGAAATGGTTTCTTGTTCTTTCCAAGTGAATGTGTATATGCTGGTTAAATGCTGCTATTTTCATGTCTGGATATGTCCAGAAACAGCCGGCCCTGTTCCTGTAGCTTTTGTGTTTGCTGTTTATACTTGGGATTACATGAGAAGCCTGTCAGCATTACCCATTCAGTCGTTACTCTACAATCAATTGATTTTACCATTATGTGCTTTGTACAGAACAAACATTCCCAACTGTCAAGCTTTCATATGCACATCAATTGGATTTTATCCAGATTTGCAACATGATTCAGTAATATTTGTTGTTCTGTATAGACACACATGGCATTATTGCCCATGTTGTTTCCTTTTATGATTTTCTTTTATTAAATTTTCAAAACACCGGAACGAAAACCACAACAAACATACAAACAAGGAACAGATACTGTCAGCACTGCTTATAAATATGGAAAATATCCACATCACGTAGTAATACCATATGTGACGCTGGACCACAAAACCAGTCATAAGTAGCACGGGTCTATTTGTAGCACTAGCCAACAATACATTGTACAGGTCAAAATTATCGATTTTTCTTTTATGCCAAAAATCATTAGGATATTAAGTAAATATCATGTTCCATGAAGATATTTTGTAAATTGCCTACCGTAAATATATCAAAACTTAATTTTTGATTAGTAATATGCAGTGATAAGAACTTTATATAGGCAACTTTAAAGGCGATTTTCTCAATATTTCGATTTTATTTGCACCCTCAGATTCCAGATTTTCAAACCATACATCAATGGAAAGCTTATTTATTCAGCTTTCAGATGATGTATAAATACAAAAAAAAACAAAAAAAACTTTTGTATGGTTTTGTGGTCCATATAAAAATATTTCAGTACAAAGCACTTTACAGTTTTATGACCCATGTTTTTTCCTGATGTTAATTACAGAAAGCCACAGGTGCTGCAGGGGGTGCCATACCAAGAAGAAGGAACGGAAAAATATTTTTAGGTAAGTCTGTTTTAAAGTAAAAAAAAAAAAAAAAGCAGAGACTTAAACTTCTACCTCAAACCCTTTTTAATAAGCCATGTATTTTTATGTTTAGCAGTCTCAGTCATTACTGGCTGGGGCTAAATTTAGCTAATTTATTTGTATATGCAGTTAGTAACCGTTCTAAATCTAAAGTGCCACATGCTTGCCCAGGCCTAATCTTCTGCTATGGAGGGTTGGTTTACAGTGGCCGACTATGCCTGTCAGCTGCTGTGCCCTATCAACCCCCCAAGCTGACACACTTCTGCCATTGGAGGTGTGACGTAGCAGCTGGGGGACCGGAGGCCGCTTATTCTCAGGCATCCAATCATTATAAACGCCTCCTTCTCTGGTTGAGGGCGATACGTCAGAAAGGATGCCAGTCATTTTGTAAACCCACAATGCTTTCCCAAATATGTCATTTAGACAACTCAGACTGTTTTATTAAGGATAATATGTCTGCTTGGAGCTCAAACATATGCGATCATGTTTTCTTTAGTCAGTTTTCGTAGCCATGTTGTCGTGCAGAAAAAAACTTTAAATGTGGCATACTCAAACTAATTAAATTGATGTATTATTCTTCTATAATGAGCAAACTTGCAGTTTTTATGACCTCATTTTGAATTTGCATTGCAGGATGATTTAAGTGTAAAAAAAGCCATTTTTAAAAGGTTGTTAAAAACCTGAAAAAGGCAAAATGCGACTCGCTGCCCCTAAAATATACACTTTTTGTGGTTCAATCAAGGGAGCTCAAGAAAATGTTTCATCAAAACATACTAAAAGATAAATATGAATAGAAATCTATTTTCGATTGTGTACATTTTGTGCAATTTCATCATGTTTTTATTCATTCATTTTTTTGGGACATTTTAAGCACTTGTTTTGAGTGCAGTCATCCCATCAGCTCTCAATGAAAAATATCTCTCTCTGCTTCCTTTCCTGAAGATTTAGAGCTTAACCGTGATTTTAACGGAGATGGTTATGAGTATGAAGATGAAGCCAAGCTTGTCATATTTCCAGACCACTTTGAGATCCCTTTACCATATTCCTAAAAACTTCTTTGAGGAGCATGGATTTTTTTTCAGAATTTGGAACCAATCCTAAAGGATTCTAATTGAAATTAAATGGCTATCAAATTAGATCCGAGCAGATAAACTGGAATCCCTTTGGGATTGGTATTGTGTAATCTTTATGTCTTTGCTATTGAACTTATAAAGGGAGCTTTAACAGTTTAGACAGCAAAAATAGATGCAACACTTTTTACCATATTTACTCTAAAATGATCTTTATCTTGCAAACTTAAAAAGAGAAGATTTGCATTTTCCTTTGCTAAGGTTGTTGCTAGATTTCAGAGCAGACACAATAGGAATCAGTGTTGTTTTTGTAATTATTGATATACTATTATTGTATTTTGAATAAACTTTAATATTTTCTGTTTTCCTTTTAATTTACATTTTAGTTTTTTTATTACCCCCCCCCATTTTAGCCTTTATTTAATTTTTTTAATATAGTTTTAGTAATTTAGTGCTTCAACTTAATCTTCAACTTAATCTAAGTTAAGATTTAACTTAATCTTATTTATTTCTCATTTTTATTTACATTTTTGTAAGTTTTGTATCCAACGTTTATATTTTATTATATTACTGCTTCATTTTTAATTACTGAAAACAATTCGTTTTAATTGGCAATAACAACACTGAAGGTGTTAAACACTTTTCTTTAGCCATGTGGCAGATAATCTCAAAATGGCCAAATATGGGCCAACTGATTGGTCTAGCTGATATACTGATATGCTGGAAATGGTCTCGGTCTTGGTCTACATGATAAGATTACAGCATATAGTGAGTGGATTATAGAGTAACATAGCCGCATCACTTCGAAGACACCTGCATTACCTGAACTGAAATATGAGGAGTTCCTCTCCTGCCTGTTTGTGTCTTCAATATGGTTTATGTACTATTAGCGGCTGGAAGTGCGCCAAGTGTGAAATGAGAGAGAACCTGTGGCTAAACCTGACGGATGGCTCTGTCCTCTGTGGGAAGTGGTTCTTTGATGGGAGCGGAGGGAACGGACATGCCCTTGAGCACTACAAAGAAACCAACTTCCCCCTGGCAGTTAAACTCGACACAATCACCCCAGATGGAGCAGGTAAGTGTCTCTCAATGACAGGTTTTCATGCGTCACAGACTTTCAGGGAATATGTTGGCACGCATGTATAACACACACAGAAAATTTCAAGCTCAAGCATAATTTAGACAAAAAACAGATTATAGAAGTTTTTATGGATGTTTCAGTTCCTGTTTCTTTTGCAGATGTTTATTCTTTTGATGAAGAAGAAGCAGTGCTTGATCCTCACATATCAGAACATTTGTTACACTTTGGAATAGATATGCTGCAAATGCAAAGGGTATGTATGTTTTCCCCACAATTTATTTAAAAAGTTCTCCACCTATTACAAAATTTTCCAAATTTTTAAAATAAAAGTATATCTTCTTAATACTTGACTATGCAGATTATACAATATAATAATAATAATAATAATAATAACAACAATAATATTAATAATAATAGTACATTTCTTACTAAATATCTGTGTTACAGATGATATTTTTATAATTTTTTTTGGTAACACTTTAGTATAGGGACCAATTCTTATTATTAAATAGTTGCTTATTAGCATGCCTATTATTACATATTGGCTGTTTATTAGTACTTATAAAACACATATTGTGCATGACCATATTCTACATCCCTAATCCTACCCAATACCTAAACTTAACAACTACCTAACTACTAACTATTAATGAGCAGCAAATGAGGAGTTTATTTGAGGTAAAAGTCATAGTTAATGGTTTGTTAATGGCGAGAATTGTGACTTTTTTCTGATTTATTTATTTTTTACGGTATAAATGGGTCTAGCTTCCTACAGTATTTGGGGGTCTGGCCATCAAAAAGTTTGAAAATCCCTGTGAATTTAAAGGGGTCATATGATGTTGCTAAAAAGAACATTATTTTGTGCATTTGCTGTAATGAAATGTGTTTATGCGGTTTAAGGTTAAAAAAACACATTATTTTCCACATACTGTACATTATTGTTTCTCCTCTATGCCCCGCCTTTCTGAAACGCGTCGATTTTTACAAAGCTCATCGGTCTGAAAAGCGAGGTGTGCTGTGATTTGAACTGTTCTGGAACAGTGTTGTAAATACAACTTAACCACTGATTTCTAGACGTGTCCTCTTTTGGAAGGCCATACAAAGTAGTTTCGCTTTCACAACGAAACACATCGTCACACACATGGCGGGCTAGAGTGAGCGGAGGCCGGCGGGCTACAGTGAGGAACGACTGGCGGGCTTGAGAACGGTGCGGCCGGCGGGCTTGCAGCAACCACATGTGACGACCCCGGGCTGGACTCCACTTCGTCCACGGTAAAATCCGATCCGGCGATCCACAGCAAGATCTTCTTTATGCACCAAGAGCTTGTAACACTCCAAAGAGAAAGGAAAAATGTAAATCACATCATATGACCCCTTTAACAACTAGTTAAGTACTTAAGCAAAAACAAGCAACACTGCCTCCTTCCAATCTCCTCAAATGTCTATGTCCATCCTTCACAGACAGAGAATGGCCATCATACAGACAACCTCGTCCAGCCTCGTGTGAGCGATTGGGAAGTTATTCAGGAGGCGGGTCTAAAGCTAAAGCCTGTCTATGGCTCAGGATATACAGGCATCAAAAACCTGGGCAACAGCTGCTACCTGAGCACCACTATGCATGTGCTTTTCAGTATTCCAGAGTTCCAGAGAGCGTAAGTACCTTGTAGCCATTAATGGTCCAATACATTCTACATACTTGTTCACATTCTCCTACCATTGTCTTTACTCAGTCTGTACCCAAAGTAAAAAGCTGGGTTTGAATGCTATCACACTTGTAGAAGTGACATTTCTGGCCATCCAAGATGAGTTTGTTTCTTCATCGCAACAGATTTGGAGAAATGTAGCATTACATTATTTGCTCACCACTGGATCCTCTGCAGTGAATGGGTGCCATCAGAATGAGTCCAAATGGCTGATAAAAACATTGCAATAATCCACAAGTAATCCACACGACTATAGTCCATCAATTAACATCTTGTGAAGTGAAAGGCTGCATGTTTGTAATAAACATGAATTTTAACTTCAAACCATTGCTTTCAGCTAAAATATGAGTCCTCCATAATATTAGATATGATAAAATTGCTTTCAATAATATTACTTTTTCCAGTGAGTCATGTTGTCTAAATTAGGTGAGAAATATGCACAGATAAAGCACCATTTACAGGCAAAAGCAGTCCAAAACAGTTCTAAACAAATATGTCAGTGGATTTTGATGTGAGAGGACAACAGGGGATGGACTTTATTTGAAGCAATAGCTATTATGGATTATGGACTCATATTTTGGCCAAAAGTGATGGTTTAAAGATAAAACGTCTTAATGTTAGATTTATTTTTTACAAACATGCAGCTTTTCACTTCACAAGATGTAACTTGAATGACTGGAGTCATGTTTTTATCAGCTAGTTGGACTCTCACTCCGATGGCACCCATTCACTGCAGAGGATAAATTGGTGAGCAAATTATGTAATGCTAAATTTCTCCAAACCTGTTCCAATACAGAAACAAACTATTCAACATCTTGGATGGCCTGAGAGTGAGTACATTTTCAAATTTACATTTTCAATTTTGGGAGAGCTATTCCTTTAATCTGTGCCTTCTAGCAGTTTGATTGCTTTTTTTTTGTGTGTATGTTAAAGGAGTAGTTCACTTTCAGAATGAAAATTCGGTCACCATTTACTCACCCCCCACTTGTTCCAAACCTGTATGAGTTTCTTTCTTCTGTTGAACACAAAAGAAAATATTTTGAAAAATGTTCGGATCTGAACAGTTGATGAGCACCATTGACTTCCATAGTATTTTGTTTCCTATTATGGAAGTCAATGGTGCTCATCAACATTTTTCCAAATATCTTCTTTTGTGTTCAACAGAAGAAAGAAACTCATACAGGTTTGGAACAAGTGGGGGGTGAGTAAATGGTGACATAATTTTCATTCTGAAAGTGAACTACTCCTTTAATGATTTTATTTCAGTGCCAGATTTAAAGCATCTAGCCAGGGTCTTTACTTACTGAAGTAAATATGCAGGTGCAATAGTAAAAGATTATTGCTTTTCTTTCCAATATTTATGCTGCAGGTATGTTGGGAACCTACAGAGAATATTTGACTACTCACCCCTTGATCCAACGCAGGATTTCAACACACAGATGTAGGTGTTTTTGTCATGGAATGTTAATATCATGTTACATTTATCTTCTTTTTGATTTCTGAAATTCAAGTTACATCTAATTCTTGTATAATATATTTGCAATGCAGTATTATACCGGTTGCATGAGTTTGACAGGTACATTGATTGATAATTAATTGAAAGTTTAATATGGCAGCACTCTGTATCAATTCGACATGGTATCTAAATTGGAATGTTTGTTTTCCTACATTTTAAGGGCGAAACTCGGTCGTGGACTTCTGTCAGGCCAGTACTCAAAACCTCCAATGAAATCAGAACTTATTGAACAGGTGATGAAAGAAGAATACAAGGTATTTGACTTGGTCTGTCTTGTTGATATTTGGCTCGATTAGGTCCACATAACGCTGTTTACACTTACAAGATGCTTGTCAGACCAATACCCATGGTGCCTAGTTACTTTTTTGAGACTTATTTGAGACAACCTTAAGGTACATTCATATTGACAGTTTTTTGCAATAACTGGAGGTCATTCATTGGCAAATTGAGGTTACAAAAAAAAATCATACAACAAAGTTGAGTAGAGTTTAATTTTATGCAAATGAGCAGGAACACAATGTGGTTACTGCCAATGGGATCGCAGACATGAACGTACCTTTGGTGTGCTTGTTTGTCTTGTCTGATTGTTTGTTTGAGAGGAGCCACAATATCAGATATTAACTGATCTATTGTATTCTAAAAGTTATCATTGTTTTTAACATTGTTTTTTGTGTGTGAATTATTATAAATGACTAAAATATAGTCATTTGGAGGTCCACTGAATTTCTACAGAATTGTTAATATGCTTCCAAAATAATATAAATCATTTCTTGTTCAAAGAAAGAATGCATGGGCTTAATTTTATGCATTTTTTATGGAACAAAAAATGCTGCTTGCCATTTTCCTAAAGTTCAGGTTTGTGGCCTCTTAAGAGTGTTTAAGAACGTCAACTGCAATCCAACTTTCTTAATAGGTTTTCTGATGGCATTTTAAAGTGCATTTGGTGACCCTGAGCCTAGATGAATCATGTTGTTTTCTTCTGTAGCAGCAGCAAAGAGGGATTTCACCTAAGATGTTCAAAGCGCTGGTCAGTAAAGGACACCCAGAGTTCTCCTCGAACCGGCAACAAGATGCTCACGAATTCTTGCTGCACTTAATTAACCTGGTAGAGGTATGAATGTGTTTCTCTATCATGTGCTTCTTTTTTGGAAAACACAATATTTCCTTTGATGTCTGAAAGAAATTGTTCCCACAAAAACGAAAATCCTAAATTATCACCCTCATGTCACTTCAAACCTATATGACTTTTTTTTCTTTAGCTGAAAGCTGGTTATAAATTACTTTCATTTTACGGAAAAAGATCAGCTTGGCATTAGACAAATTCTTATGACTCCTTTTGCACATTGAGGTTTGGATTGATACAGGGTGAGTAAATTCTGACAGAGTTTTTATTTTTAGGTAAACTATCCCATTTGCAATCTTCTTTTCTTAAAAAATTATTTCAGAGAATCGAGGGTTTCTAGGGTTTGGCTGGAATTTCGTGTTTGTAGACTTTGAGTCTTGTCAGCAGGCTCTGGTTTCAGGAGACACATTCGACTGCACTCTCTACCCCTCTGCTGGCAGACACACACTTCAAGTGACTTTCTCAACTGAATTAAAATTAGATACCCCTATCGGTTACACAGGGCAGATAATGCTTCCTGTTACCCTCCCCACTTGGTTCATGTCCAGAATGAAAGCTGTTGCCTTCCCTGACACTTTTCCGTGACTTAAAAACAAATAACAGTAGGAGCCGCACTGTTAGACATTTACATTGAGATACACTATGTCAACAAGAAATAGAATTCACAGCCCATTTTATTACTACTTTTCTTCTACAATGTGGCATACTTTTGAATTGACTGGATTGTGAAAAATGGCTTCTACATGACAGGTGGCTGGAGGGAGGGTTTGGAAAATATAAGTGCTTGGTGACATCAGCTGAAAAGGAAAATCAATTCAGAGGGTTAGCGGGTTATTAAGGAGCATTCACACTGATAGTAATTAGCTTTTTGTATTAGAATTGCCAGTTTCCTGTGACATAAGCAACAATGATCATTGGTGAGGTGACGAAGTTGAGCAGAATTCAACTTTATGTAAATAATATTCAAAAGTTTTTAAAATAAGTCTCTTTATATATTGTCTCTTTTTATATTTATTTTATATTTATATTTTAAAATGTAATTCATTTTTGTGATGGAAAGCTGAATTTTCAGCAGTCTTCAGTGTCACATGATCCTTCAGAAATCATTCTAATATGCTGATTTGGTTCTCAAGAAACATTTCTTATTATTATCAATGTTGAAAACAGTTGAGCTGCTTGATATTTTTGTGGAAACTGTGATTTAGTTTTTTCAAGATTATGTGACACCAAATGTTTGAACGAGTAAGTAGTGATGTGATGTAGAAGCTACCAATGGGAGTGCAAGCAATGATCGGCCACCTAATATAGTTAGATAGAGAGGTCGAGTATAGGAATGCCTACTAGAGACTCAGTGGACATTTTTTATATTTAAACTAACATTCACAGATGAATTGTTCACAATACAACAAATCATTCTCAATAGACATAACAATAAGAGATCTATTCACAATATAGATAGAAGCATTCACAATAGAGATAAAAAGGGTCCGTTTAGATTTCATGTAAAGCTTTTCAACTCTAGATATATTTATATAGCTGTTTGATTTTGAAGTGATGAACTGATCAAGAGCTAATCGTTGCTGACATTTGCTTGTTCCTGACAGTGCACATAAACCAAGCGGGATCAGCTTCATAAAACCAAGACAGAGCTATAGTCTCTTGATATGTTTAGTACTCAGAAATGTTGACTGGTTTATTTGTAGCTGCCCTCAGCTGTGCCTTGTGTGAAATAGCATAAGGCCTGTGAACAGTGAGGGGACCTTGTGGTGCGTTTCTACATCCTCAGCAGGTTTGTTCTCTGCTCAGTGGTCTCTGGTATCTCAGACTTGATAGAAGAGGGCTGGTATATTTCCGCATGGCCTCAGAATAGCGGAACTGCCGTAGGATGACCTCTTTGATCTTAATTATGGACTAATTCTGAGCTCTCCCTAAAGATGCCTAAATTTAAATCGAAAGTTGATTTGTTTACCATTTGTTTTGTAGAACTATGAATTATGCGACCGCTATTGTGTTTTATGTCATGATTTTGGATGAAAGAGGGATAGTCCACCCAAAAATTAAAATCCTTTTTTTTCTCACCCGTGTGGCCTTCAAAACCTGTATGACCTTTATTGTTCTATGGAACATTAAATATATATTGAAGGATGTTTGTAAACAAACAGTTTCAGTTTCCAATGACTTCCATTATATAAACAAAAAAATACAATGGGAAGTCATTGGGAACCAAAACTGTTTAGTTACCGGCATTCTTCAAAATATATTTTTTTAATGTTCTACTGAAGATCAAAATGCATACAGGTTTGGAATGAAACAAAGGTGAATAAATAATGACATGATTTTCATTTTTGGGTGGACTATCCCTTTAATGTATTCAGTGCTGTCCGTCTTTGAAGGTTCTTAGTGCTGCAACAAAACATTTTACAGGCTTTTTCCAGAAAAGTAGATAGGAAAGTTAAGGAGAAAAGGCAAATGGGAACGGGTCAGATTCAAACCTGTTTTTCCATGAGCAAAACAGCTCTTATAATGTACAGTGCTACCCACTGTGCCATGGCTTCAACAGAAGAGAACTTTCTGTAGGTGATATTGTGTTTTGCCATTTCCAGAGGAACAGTTCAGGCTCAGAGAACCCCAGCGATGTGTTCCGCTTCTTAGTTGAGGAGCGAGTGCAGTGCTGTCAGACACAGAACGTGCGCTACTCACAGCGAGTGGACTATCTTATGCAGCTTCCTGTACCCTTGGAGGCTGCCAGCAACAGAGGTAATGCCTTCTACAACTGAGTTAAACATTGATCCTGCACTACAAAATTTTCCACCTGATCTGACTCTTAAACATTGATTAAAGTTAATTTAGTCAGGTGATATTTTATTTTATTTTAGGTCTTTTCAATGGATCTAATGTGCTGGTTGACCTAATGGTGTTTTAATTGCTTATGGTTTTGTCGTTTGTACAGAGGAGTTAATAGCATATGAAAGTAAGCGGAAGGAAGCTGAGGAGAACATGCGGCCCCCTCCAGAGCCGGTGAGAGCCCGAATCCCCTTCACTGCCTGTCTGCAAGCCTTCACTGAGCCTGAGAATGTTCCAGACTTCTGGAGCTCTGCACTGCAAGCCAAGTCGGCCGGAGTGAAGTAAGCAAGGTTCTGGTTTGAGACCTTCGAAGGACTTGAAACACATTCTCCAAAATTTAGAAGAATATCATGGGGTTTACATCTACAATAATTTTTTTTAATGTTATTTAATATATGCATTTAATTATAAAATATCATTACTTTTTATTGTATTTTTTGTCATTTTTATAATATTTTTGTTAATATATATATTAACACTGCTGTTCAAAAGTTTGGGAACTGTAAGATTTTTAATGTTTTTTTTTTTTTAAAGAAGTTTCTTATGCTCATCAAGGCTATATTTATTTGATCAAAAATACAGAAAAAATGGTCACTTTATTTTAAGGTGTAATTCTCGCTATTAACAAACCATTAACTACAATTTTGCCTCAATAAACTCTTTTTGCTGCTTGTTAATAGTTAGTAAGGTAGTTGTTAAGTTTAGGTATTGGGTAGGATTAGGGATGTAGAATATGGTCATGCACAATATGTGTTTTATAAATGCTAATAAACAGCCAATATGTTAATAATAGACATGCTAATAAGCAACTAGTTAATAATAAGAATTGGTCCCTATACTAAAGTGTTACCAAAAAAACTGTAATATTGTGAAATATTAATGCCATTAAAAAGAAAAAGGATTTTCTGTTTTGTAGTGTACTTTAAAATATTATATATTCCTGACGCAAAGCTGAATTTTTTATCAGCCATTACTCTAGTCTTCAGTGTCACATGATCCTTCAGAAGTCATTTTAATATGCTGATTTATTAACAATGTTGGAACTTTTGAATGGCATTGTGTATATATATATATATATATATA